CAGTAAATTGTCAACAGTAAAGCAAAAGGTCTAGATATTAGATTAAATGATATTCGAAGAAAGCCTATTACTTCAGTTAATGATTGGCAAATAGATTTCTTAGAGAACTATATTTCGTATTTTGCTGAAAATTTGAAATGCGTAAGTTCAAAATTAAGAGAAAAAAAGTTAACAATGGATACTGCAAGTGCTTTGCAAAAAACTTTTAAAAGATTAGCAAGCTGCGCCAAGTATTTGTTGAATTGCAGTGTATCTAATGTATTGTTAGGGCATATGCAATCAGATGCACTAGAAAAACAGTTTAGGAAATATCGGCAAGGGTCAGGTGGCACATATATGATAACGGTGCAATATGTTATTCAAAAATTTAGAATCGACAAAACTAGAAAGTTGCTAGCATGCATACAGATTTTACAATATATCCTCCTGCTCACTGCCACTGTGATAAGTGTGAACTTGATGTGGAGTTTATTATGTCAATATGTGAAAATTGTGAGGATTAGTTGCCAAATGAATGCAATCAAGGACTTTTATATATTGCAGGTTTTATTGCTTACAAACTTCCAGAATTACATTCAATTTTAGAAGAAACAGACAGCTTTGATTATTTTTAAAAAATATGGAACTTTGATCATTTCTTTGAATAGGGGAAGACTAAGAGAACCTTCTGACAATTTAGTCTACTTTGTTTTTTATTGTTTTTTTATATTTGAAGTGACACTTGTGAATAAAGATTCACCATTGCTGTGCAAGAAAGGATTAATTGACATTTTTATTAACTGCAATAGTAAATTTCAATTGCTTGTTCAAAGTGTTAAAAAAGTTTGCTGCATTTTGGCAAACAATTTTTTAAACAATTATTGTAAAAAACACTCTGAAGATTTTGGGAAGGAATGTTTAATAAAACAAGCAAAACTTTCAACTTCAAAATAAAATACTTTGAGTCAAAAAAGTCAAAATAATTTTAATAAAATAAAGTTAATATATTTGCTTGTTTTTATCAAAAAATTTATTATTTGTATTACAAGTGTTAAACAGCTAAAATAAATATATAGTTATAAAAACGAGATTTAGTCATTTTTAGCTAAACTCCTTAAATTTTTATTATAATTAACTTATTTCTAAACGTAAAAAAAATTTCTACAATATTTGCTTTCGAAATTCAATCAAAATGTTTTGTCCTAATAAAGCTCTTTATTTGTTTCTGAAGTTTGTTTACAAAAGCAAAGATAAAAAGTAATTTTAACCGTAAAAAAGTCGGCCTTCGCTAATTTTACGGAAAATGAGCTGTCGCGGCCTGTTTAAGAAGGCCTTGAATAAATGTGATAATAAGTTATTTTAGTGATTATTTCGTTAAAATCATTAAATCTAAAATTAGAGAGGCCAGAATTGTGACTTCATAACCAAATAATCTTTATATTTGTTAATGTTTGCATTTTTATTTAATTGCATTATTTTATTTCGATATTCTACATTAAAACGTTTTAATCAAAAATTGAAAACTAATCAAATATTTATAATATTTAATCAAATATACTTTAAATTACAATAAAAATAGTTAAAAAAATATTTTTAATACACTATACTCAAGCTAGTACATTTATATAAAACACACGCACATATATAATAGATGTTTAAAATAAACCAATGCCAAGATATTAGTTTTTGGTCGCTAGTTTTGGTTTGGTTGATTTAAAGAGGTTTTGGTTTTGAATAAAGTTGTTACTCGTACACAGGTTTGTACTTTAAGTCGGGCACCATGCTGTCAACTCCTTAAAGATTAATATAAGATAAAATAAGGAAAATATGGAAACTTAATAACATACCTAGTATAAAACCAAAATAAAATGTTACTGATAACACTATAGAAAATAATTTTGGTAATTCATTATATATAAATTTCTATTCTAAAATTTGTTATTTTAATTATCTCTGATATCGTTTTCTAAAGAAATCCCAAAAGAAATGCAAGTTAAAATACAATTTTTTTTAATTTACTAATTCAAACTTACAGTGGGATATCACAAACCACGTGTCTAAAACAGCAAATTCTAAAATAATATAATCACGCCAGATATAAACTTATTATTATTAATAGTTGAAACTCAACTAAATAAATATGCACGCTAATAGAAATGCAAGTTACAATATAAACATTACAGCCAATTTAAACTTACAGTATGACAGCTTATATTAAGTGTCTAAAATAGCAAATTCTGAAATAATATAAACAAGCCATTCACAAACTTAGTTGCAATCTAATTATATAAACATGAACGTCAAAAGAAATGCAAGTTAAAATATAAATTTTTTAAAATTTACTAATTCACATTTACAGTGGGATACCACATGCCACGTGTCTAAAACAGTAAATTCTAAAATAATACAAACACATAAGATATAAACTCAGATTAAACTCAACTAAATAAATATGCAAGTTACAATATAAATTCTACAACCAATTTAAACCTACAATGTGACACTAAATGCCGTGCCTCTAAAGCAGCAAATTTTAAGATAGTATAAATAACTCATATATAACCTTAGTTGTAACTCAATTAAATAAACATAAATGTTAAAAGAAATAGAAGTTCCAATATAAATTTTTTAATTTTACAACTAGTTTTAACTTACAGTGGGATAACAAATGCCATGTGTCTAAAACAAAAAATTCTAAAATAATATAAACACACCAGTACAAACTTAGTTTATGATATTGGATGCCACATGTATAATTTGGAAATTAAAAAAAATTGCAATTTATAAAAGCATATTAACTAGCCATGTAAACTTAGCTGTAACTAACCTAAATAAATATACCTATCAAAGATGTTAACATTTTTAATTTTACAACTGATTTAAACTAATATGGTATGTTACTACATGTCATATGTCTAAAATATAAAGTTAAACAAGACTATAAATAATCCATTTAGTCTATATTATGGAAATAATTGTTAACCCTTAACTACTAGTAAAGGATTAGTTGAACTTTTATTTCTATATTATTAACTATATGGATTGCATATATTCTTGCATAATTTTCTAGATTTAGACATGTAGTAACTTACCATATATGATATGTATTAACTTACAATATATTTATTATTATATATTATTTAGTAATACTAATGACTTTTAATTTAAAATAAAATAAACCTTTTTGTTAAATTTTCTATATAAAGCTCTATATAGAAAAATTTAAAATAAGTTAAATAACCTTCGAAATAACATAGTGTAATTTAAATTATATTTATCCATTTGCTTTGTCTACTAAATGTAAAGCTTTTTAAAAAAATCGCATATTACACTTACTGCAACCAACTTTTATCTACGATGTAAATGTAAATGTGAGAAAAACACATTCAAAACTTTATCATTTTCAAAATAAAAAGCTATAATATACTGAAAATTTTTTTTTGACCGGTTAGAATATTTAATCCGTTGAATTAACGAAATTTCAAAGAATCCGTAAATAGTTAATTTTACTCCGTTAATTTTCTGGTTTTAGGTAACGAATTAAACCCTTAATTTAAGGTGGAAAACCCCTGAAAATATTTTTGTGAGTAAATATCAATATTTTATAAATTTAACTTTATATACATAAAGTAAATAACAAAATTAACTAAAAAAAAAAAAAAAAAATTTTTGGGGCAAAATGGTAGCTGTAGCAGGTGCCAAAAATACTAAAATATTGAAAACCCCGGCCAATGTATCTAAATATGTACACAATTTTAGCAAAATCTTTTTTGCATACTTGTTCTAACAAGGTAATTCTGTGATATGAGCAAAGCAGATTTTTCATAATAATTTTTATTAGGCTAATATATTCGACCGAAGTACATGTAAAAAATTTGACCAAATTTTATGACTTTGTTGACCTTTTTAAGGACTGGATTCAATTTTTAAAAAAATCTATCGTGCTTAAATCACAGAAGACAATCAAACAAATTTATATATAAAATTTTAGCTTAACACCGCTCTTAGTTATTTAGATATATTGGCCGGCGTCTTAAAAACCTTTTATCTGAGAAAAACAGCTTTTAAAAATGCCAACATAAAAAATTTCAAAATAGCGTTATCAAATATGCAAATCTATATATAATAAAATAAGTTAATTCTTAAAATGCACAAGTTTGATATGGGTTTTGCTCTTTTTTAAGAGATTTGTCATATCGACTCTTCTTTTTTCCACGAAATACTTGTCTGCGTTTCTTTGCTCGTTCTGTGCTTTTATATATGGCTAAGTATAATCGCTTTTGATTAATTTTCCTACATCCTTCTAACAAATACTTTCCAGGTCTTAAATTCATTTTTTCTAAAACTAAAACACTAGCTTGTCTACCAATGTTAAAATGGGCAACTGCATCAAAAGTGCCAAATTGAAGATGCATAAGCGAAACATAATGACCTTTTGGTATACGCTCCCATATTGTCATGTTAAAAGACTCATTGTTATTTTGGGTAAGACCATGCAGACATTTTTTTAAAAGAATGTCACCACTTAATTCATCATAAATTGGATTAAGTTTCCAAACATTAGATATTGGTAAGCCAGGATCAGGTCTGTATGTTGAGGTATGGTTTGCTTTGTCACGATTATACCAACAGCAACTATTTGAACCTTCTGGACAGTAAGGAAAATGTAAATTTTCATTTTTTGATGAAGCAACATGATAAAGTGTAGCTCTTATAGCAGATTTCATAGCACTTAAATTATTTTTGTTTTGGCGAATTGCAATGATATAATAATTTTGGAGACGATCAATAGTTGCATCGGTCAATTTTCCACGACCACCAAAACCTTTTTATTTTTTTTTTTAAATACGTAAACATGTTCCTACTCTTTTTTGCACATGGCCAACACATTCAAGTTTATTTACAAGAACACCTTGATAAACATTTTTTACAGCATCATAACCTTGGCTATCACTATTGCCATAGAAATCAGTGTATCGTAGATTATGTTTTTTGATAGATCTACAGCCATATTCTGCAGGCTCCCTCTGGCTCCATTCCACCAGGTAGTCCTTGGTAATTAAAAGTACATTTATGTTTATCATGCTATATTTCATAGGCTAATGGGTTTCCTTTCTTTAGATGTTCTTTATGAAAACATGCTTTACATACCTATATTTTGAGGAAAAAATATTAAAATCTGAAGTATGTAACATTAAGTAGATTTTCATATATTAAAAAATAACAATCTTTCTAGTATGTAATATATATATATATATATATATATATATATATATATATATATATATATATATATATATATATATATATATATATATATATATATATATATATATATATATATATTGTATATACATATATATCAAATTAGGTGGGTGTTTACATACACACAAACATATATATGAATATATACAATATATATGCATATATGCAAACCTAAACAAAACAACCAAATTGTATACTTAACTTGTTCATAGCTTCAACATCTATTACTTTGCCTGTTTCCATCGAAATAACAGAAACAACACCATTGTTTGAAGAATAGCCTCGTCGCTGCCAAGTGCCATCACATGATACTGCAACATCAATAACATTGGACACATGGTCTGGAATAGAATTTAAAATAAAATTACTCTTCAAGTCTTTTAACTCTTGAGCAGCATCCAACATAGTATCTTCAGCTACAGATTTTACTGCATTAGTTAGTTTTATAACAATTTTATTATAATTGTTAGCAGTCATTGGTTTAGGCATGTCTATTAATGAGACAAATCTTGAGAATCCAGAATAGCCTTGACCACATGATCTCATAGCATATACAGCCCTGGTATTAATATCAAAACTTTTTTGTATATTCAGTGTTGAGGTGTAAAATTCTCTTGAATAATCACACACACAGCAGTTAACATAAAGACAAGACGCTAGACCTTTTCTCTTGTTTACATTTTCAGAGAGAAACAACTTAGATGACATACATTCTGGACATCTAAGGGTAGAAACTATAGAATTTAGTATTTCTAAATCTATAAAACGGTATCCAGTAACTATATTACTAGATACCTTTGGATGTGATGACGAAATTTTTTTTATTTTTCTAGCAGAAGCACATATTTCATTAGAATTAATAAAGTTAAGATCAACTGGTTTCTCCATATTTACATTTACATCTTCAACACTTGTAATAACATTTATATTCATATCTACACTATTCGATTCCATAGTTACATCCATATCAACATTATTTACAACTAAGTTCTTATTTACATTAAATATTTTTTTCCATTTATGATTTTTAGTTCTTTGTTTAACTCTGCAAGCCTTAGCCATTGTAGAAGATTTATGATATATTTAAAAGTTTTCCAGTAACTGTTTTTATACTAAAGTTGTTTTGAACAATGGCTTAAATACTAAATTTACTAAATACTAAAATTACTAAAAAAAAATACTAAATACTTAATATTAAATTTACTTGATAAAATATTTTTTTCATATAAAATAAATAGGATTTAGGACTATTTTTTAGTAAAGGTAAATAATAGTGTCGTTGCTATGGCGGTTGTTAAGGAAACTTTAAATACATTTTAATGAAGAGATCTATAGCAAATTTTTAAAAATGGTTTTCAGATGGTGAATCTCTGATAAATTACGCACAAAACAAGAAAAAATTTTTTTTTCAAAAATTTCATATTTCTCAGGGGTTTTCCACCTTAACGAAAAAGCGCAATCCGTTACTTTTTTTAACGGACTGTTTTTAGAGTGTGTATAATTTATAAACTTTTTATTTTATATTCTTTTAATGACGTAAGTAAGAAAAGAGAAAAAATTTAATAGTAAGAAAGTATATATATATAATATAAAAATATTATTTTATACACTTAAACTTTGAAACCCAATATAAAATTTACGAGTTTTTAAAATATATATAATCAATGTGCCGCTAAGTTATTTCTAATCAAAGTTGTTTCTTTCTGCTCAACGTACGCTATTAGACAAGAAGTCAGGTGAATAAAAAAAAGTAATTGCTTTTACTCAGCATTTTTGGAGTAATTGTTTAGCTTTACGCGAATAAAAACGTTAGCAAACTCGCTCAAATTTTTTTCACATAAAGCTAAGCAATAGTCGCCATAGAATGTTACCCCACCCCCTCCCTCATTATTCTCTGATAAATAGAATGTTTCATATCTTTTCACAATAACATTAAAAGTGCTATTTAAAATAGATTTTAGGCAGATTTCAATGATTAAAAATCCAAAACCATATTTTAGGCGTGTTCTTTAGTTTTATTAAGCAAGCTCTACGATTAGATTTTATTTAAAATAAAAAGCCTCGCGCCTACAGCGCTCAACTGAGCTCAGAAAATGTGGTTGTAAAATTTTATCTCTGTATGAGAGTGCAATTTAAAGTTGATCACATGTGTGGCCTCGTGCAGCCTAATTTTTTTTCTAAAAAAAGTAAGCGCTAAAAAATTTAGAAAAAAAATTAGTGCGGCCTAATTTTTTTTCTAAAAAAAAAGAGTAAGCGCTAAAAAACGACTGCCTATTTTAAAAATTTGTTTTGGAAAAAAAGCTAGCATAAAAAATAAATATTTATGTTTCTTATTATTATTTCAATATATGATGAAATTAAAAAGTTGTAAAAATGTCTTGCTGGCTTCATATTTTACTTTTATATGTTTTATTCCATTTTCACCAATATTTGAAAGATAAAATATTGCCATTTTTGAGGTAAATTTATTTATTAAGCTCAAATTTTATAGTTGGGAAAAAATTATATCAGTTTTAGAATGCTGGAGGTCTCTAGATTACATAAAATATTATAAAAATATTTTTTTTTAATTAAGAAGTTATTTTAGAGGGGTTTTTGTCACCTCTGGTTTACTGTGTGCTGTCATATATATATACATATATATATATATATATATATATATATATATATATATATATATATATATATATATATATATTATATATATATATATATATATAATCATAAAAAAAACAAATAACAATATAACCAATAAAATTGTACTTAGATATATTAGGAAATAGCCATAACAGTAAAAACTAATTTTTATATGGAAGAAATGTTAAAGCAATGACCAGAAAAATATCATACATATAGAACATATTTATCTGAAGATATATGTATATATATATATATATATATATATATATATATATATATATATATATATATATATATATATATATATATATATATATATATATATATATATATATATATATATATATATATATATATATATATATATTTAAAGAACATGGAAATTTGTAGTAGATCGTATTGTCATGTCGTCGAGTACCGCTGTAAAAAGACGTTGCATTTTTACATTTTTACATAATTATTTTACCTAGTAAGTAAAAAAGTGTTTTGCCATAATAAAAGAATAACAAGAATTAAATAAAAGAATTTTTAAAATAATAAAAAGTTAACAAAAAACTTCTTAAAGATAGTTTGACAGATATTATAACACCAATATCGTAATCGTAAATAATTGAATCATATCAAGAAAAAATAGATTAAAAAAATTAAAAAAAATTTACAAAGAGTTTTCAAAAAACTGGTGTATACTTGTACAATGCAAATATTTTTGTTGATAATGATTTTTTTACCATCATTTGTCACAGACCGTATAGAATCAGCAATTCTTGTATCTGAGCTATCACAAGGAGCTCCTTCTGAAGTACGTTTTACATCTTCAGGTCAATCTGTCAAAATAGTATTAATAAAGAGACAACGTTACTCATTCCTGTAACTCCTAAAGCATTTTTTCCAGAAACTGTGCAACCTTACCCAAAAACAGCACCAAGAAAGATACATTTGACAAGACGAATAAAAAGGAAAGCTATTATAAAAGATACTCCAGAAAGAATTATATTAAAACAGCAACAAACTAAGAAGCAAAAAAAACGTAAAAACAAATAAATATCTATCTGTCAATCCATTTCGAATATTAACAAAGAGTATGACGATAAAGAGACTCAGTTATATAGTATTTTTAAAAAAGTTAAGAAACAAACAAACAAAAAAACTAAAAAGAAAGAAATTTCAATGAAACCAAAAAAAAATTCTTTCTTGCAATCCTTTGCAGATCATGGTAATAAGGAGACTCTGCTGTCTAGCATATTAGATAAAATTAAACAAAAATTAAACAAAAAAAATAAGATGACAAAAAAATTAAAGACAATTTCAGAACACGATTATGCTTGTCTTGTATGTTGGGAAACTTATTCTGAAAGTCTACCAGAAGAAAATTGGATCCAGTGTCAAGGTTGCAATTAATGGTCTCATTCAAAATGTGATTCACATTCTGGTCAAAATTATATTTGTGTTAACTGCAAAATGGAAATTGAAGACTAACGTTAAGTGTTTAGTTATTATTTTATCATAATATTAACAAGTTTTGATTAAAAATGTGTTTAAAAAGTTGTATTTAGTTTTAAAATTAAAAAGTTTTGTTTTGTTTTTATTTTAGTCTCAAATTTATTAGCTTTTATATTCTTATCTTAGATAATTTGTTAAACGTGAAAGTTTATATTTAATTTATAAGGAAGCTATGCTTTGGTTTTATAACAGAGTTAATAGTTGTCACAGAAATGCGTTCATTTTTTTATTGCTCAATTCACCGCACACAGTTGCTCAACTTACCCCGCTGGGGTAGGTTGAGCAGCCTAATAAATTTTTTGTCTCAACCATTTTTTAGCAAATTAATTTGATCTTTCTAATAGTGAAAAAATTATATTAATCCGATGTACCGTTCAAGAGATCTGTTAGATTTAGTAAAAATTGCCCAACTAGCCCCGCCCTACGCTAATACAGATAGACAATAGCAAATTAGACTTGCAGATCGTAAATAATTGAAATACAAATCATACAATTAAAATTATACATTAAGAATCATATTTCTTTCAACTTTTTTTTAAAAGTTATGTAATTCTATTCAAAAGAAAATTCAATGTTATTTACGGTCTACGAAATTTACAAAATTTACAAAGATTAGTTTTCGAAAATAGTTGCATTAAAAATTTATATATTTTTTTTGTTTTGTTATAAATAAACTATGAAAAGGAGACATGAAACTATGAAAGAAGATACATAAAACAAAGAACATTATATACGTTAGGTAGATACATGTTTAAAACATTCATTTTTCTTAAGAAAGACTTTAAATGAGTTCGTCTATCACAAAAATTAACTAAACATGCTATATGTTTCTGATGACGATGAAGAGGCTCTAGTTTACTTTTGTTATTACTGCTCCACGCAACATTTGCATGTTTAATATGGAACTGAATTAGTGAATAATTTAAAGTGCGCATGTTTAAATAGCTTTTGAATTTGTATAGTATTCTAATACTTTTGGAAATTTTTTTGCTGAAATTTTTGATGTGCTGTCTCCATTTAAGATTTTTATCACTATGCATTACCTAAAAACTGAGTAGTTTTTACCTTTTTACATGAATATTATAATTGAATATAGATGGCGTTGACATAGAGTCCAGTTAGTTTTGTCGATATTTACTGAATGTTTGTTTATTTTGAACCAGTCGGAAACATTTTTAAGTTCTAAGTTCAAAATTTCAAATAATATAATGTTGCTGTGCGATAAAAATAAATTTGTGTTGTCGGAAAACATTATTGTCCTCAGGCTGGATGCTTTATGGAGATCATTGACATATATAAGAAAAAGAAGAGGTCCGAGAATAGAACCTTGCGGCACGCCACAAGTAATGTTTAATAACGTTTTTGGTGATTTATCGTCAATGTGTACATATTGAGAACGATTATTTAAATAACTCTTTACACATTTTAAAACAAATCCTGTGATTCCAGATAATTCGAGCTTTTTAATAAGAATTTGATGATCAATATTATCAAAAGCTTTGATAAATCAATAAAAATTCCTAATGCATATTCAGATTTATTAAACGACTTGTTATTAATATGTGTAAACTGAAGTATTGCATGCTTGGTGTAGTTATTTTTTTTGAAACCATATTGATTATTAAATAAAATATTATTTACAGAAAGATGAGTGTTGATTTTTTATACAAAATTCTCTCTAAAAATTTTGAAAATACAGAGAGAACAGATATAGGGCGATAGTTATTTACATTAGTTGCATCTGCTTCTTTATATATCGTCGTTACTTTGGCAATTTTAAGTTGATCAAGGAAAACTCCTTGGCTAAAGCAAGACGAAAAGATTTTAAATAGAATATTTTTAATAAAATTTTAATAATTTATAATTGATTTAGCATAGGAACAGCAACAAAATGACTTAATT